CTAGTCTCTCTTTTAGTATTATGTTATTGATGATTATAGATAGATTATGAATTATAGATATAGATTTGTAGATAAATCAATGATTTTTCAAAAAAAAAAAAAGAATAAATAAAAGTACAGTTTAGGATGGAAAATTCCCACAAAAACAGGTATCATTTTAGTATGGGATATAAATTATAGATAGAGAAAGAGGGATATTTCATAATGAATTTTATGCTACGATTAATATGCCAAAAATTTCTAACTCTAATAATCATCATACCTCCATCTTTATTAATATAACCTTTTATTATCTATTCTTTTTAATTGACATGTTATACACTTTGTACATGTCAATTGACAAATTTAAAAAATCAATATTTTTTTTTATTTTTTTTTTTAAAGAATAACGATCAATATTTCTAATTATTATTAAGTACCAATTTAAAATATTAATGTTATATAAAAATAAATTTAAAAATAGGTACTAAGTCAAAATATATTACAATAAAGGAATATAATATATTGTGTATCTTACGCGACGATTTACGAGCCATATATAATACGAAATACAAAGTATATGATTTATTCTAAATGTATTAATGTTTCCTTAACCAAGATTAAAAATCATACTAATTAATCTACATTTGGCATCATTTTATTTGCATGGCAAATCCTTTAAATCCCTCCTATTGCATTGTAACTTTGTTAGGAACAATGAACCATATATATAAAAGTATACCTAGACATAATCCAAATCTTTTTCCAAAGAAAGATTTTTCTTTATCCGATCTTTTTGCCTTCTATATATATAGTTGATTTTACACTCAACTCATTTTGATTTTATTTAGTTTATTTTAGTTTATGTATTTTATTGAAGTTTACTAACGGTTCATTTATGATAAATATTAATTATATTTCTCGACACGTGACTTTAATTAGGAAGCATTCCAAAAGTAATATCATCTTAGGAAATATGTTAATTAAATTATTATCTCAGCAATTATATTAACTTGTGTACAAATAATAATCATAAAGATTTTTCGAGAATGAAGATAGTATATATTATATAATAAGCTAATTAATGAATGATGTTATCAAAAATAGTATATATGAGATTCAAATTTCAAACATATATTCCATCCACATAAAGAAAAGATTTTGAGTATTAAGAGAGGTTAAGTATATTATTCCATATGGATAGTTTGTTGATTTCATATAACTTTTTCATACTTAATTTAAATCGCCTAACATTTCAACTAATGAAAGATTTATCAATATATATATGTTAACATTTTTTTGAATCAATATATGTTAACATATTAACTTGTTTATTGATTTTTGGTAATATACTACTTGTACTTATTTCAGCGAAAAAAAACTATATCTTTTTTTTATTTTGAAAGCTTGAAAATAAAATTCATCTGATATAATTTAATACATGAAATTGGTTTCTTTTTTTAAAAAAAATAAATAAAATTGTGGTTGTTACAAAATTTTAATAACCATCCAAAACATCTATAATAAGATTGTCATTCTTAAAGTAACATTACTACAATTGGCAGATCTTAGACTAAAAGGTATGGGGGGCATATTTTGAACTCTACTTTAGTAACTTCTAATTAAAATTATAGATATATAACTTTTAACAAATAACAATAATCTAACCAAAGTCAAGTTTGAAGGAATGAAGTCAATCGACCGAACCTAACTCTTGAAAGCTTGTTACATAAATTTAAAATATTATAAATAAATAATTCATCACCATAAGGAAACCATATGCAAGTTTGATCTACAAAATTAATTTACACAAATTTATATAGGCTAATAGATACAAGCAATATATTACGATACATGTACAATATATGTACAAAAATAATATAATTAATTAAAAATATGTACCATTTTGGATTTGTAGTTGATAAATTCTAAGTTATGAAATAAATTTGTAATGTTATGATTCGAGCGTAAAAATTTAACTCGATAAAAAAAAAAATTAAAAAATTAATTTTATTTAATTAAGTTGTAAAAGTATTTATGTTAGATTAAATTTTAATTTTCATTTATTTGAACCCAATTGAAAAAGTTGTTGGATCTACCAGTTGATATAATATTTAACTAAGGTATATATTTATCAAACATGTATAGTAATTCTTACAAAAATCATAGGGGTTGGACCTCTATGAGCCCCAATGAAAATCCTTCCCTAATTACTACCATTATTATGTGTAATTGATTTATTAATTAGATATTTTTATTGTTTAATATTTTTTCCATAAATTCCTTATTGATTAGAGATTGTTTGGCATCAATTGTCAATTTTTAGTTTATATATTTTATTTTACTAATTATTTAATGTGTTGTATTTTGAATTAAAAATTAGTCATGTATACATTTAATACATATCATTCCTCTGGTTATTTTTTTTTTCCTTTCCTACTTTAACTTTACTCTTTTTATTGTAAAAAATAGTGCACATTTGTACACATCCTTATTCTACCTAAAAAGTCAAAAGAGAGACCCACTTTTACTACTCGTAAGAGTCTTAACTTCATATTTTTTTTTTCTCGCTCCAATTGCTACAGAAATAGAAATGATAAAAAAAAAAGAAAAAGGAACGATAGAGTACCAACTAAGGCCCTGTTCACTTCATCTAAAAAAATAATATCCAGTAAAAATAATTTCAGTTCAATAAAATAATTTCAATTCAGTAAAAATAATTTCAATTCAATTAAAATAAGTTCAGTTTCGTAAAATTCAGTATCTTTAAAGAAGAAATATAATAGGAAATCAGTAAAAATAATTTCAGTTTAGAAAAAATAATTTCAGTTCAGTAAATTTAATTTCAATTCAGTAAAAATAATTTAAGTTCAGCAAAAATAATTTTAGTTCAGCAAAAATAAGGTGAAGTGAACGGAGCCTAAGCACAGATGTTTTTAGTACCGACAACAAAGAAATAATAATTTTTTTTTTTATAAAATTCCATATTTTGGTTTTTAGGTTATCTTTTGATTTAATTATTGTTACATTTTACTCTCATTGATTTTATGATTTTTATCCTACACTTTTTTTTTATATTTTATTTAATACTTCATAATGAATTTTATGCTACAATTATTTTGCCTAAAATTTTTAACTCTAATGATCTTCATACCTCCATTTTTATGAACTACCTTTCATTAAATTGACATGTTATACATATGTCAATGAACCAATTTATCTACAATTTTTAATTATTATTAAGTAACAATTTTAAAATTTTAAATAAAAATATAAATTGAGACGATTTAAATATGTTTCGATGAAATTCTTTTATCCCAACTACAATTTAAATTTGAAAATGCGTACAATGTCAAAATATTTTAAAATGGAGGAGGTACTATATTGTGTATCTTACGGGACTATTTACAACCCATATATAATACGAAGTAAGAAGTATATAATATACTCTATCAGGTTATCCTCGTGCGATGCACATTTAAAATTAATTTTTCTTTTAATTTATGTTTCGTTGCATTACATTGTATACAAAGATCAGAATTAAATTTACAGTTAAGAAATTATATGAACCACATTATTTACAAATTACAATTAAAAATTAAAATAGTTGAAAATAATAATTTAAAATGCATATTTCTTGAAATGTGAAAAAAGGTGGAGTTAAACAATGACTGGCATCAACCATGAGTTGAACGTATTCAACTAACAAATTATATTGGCATTATCCATTTCGATCAATTCCAATCAAAGTTCAGTGACCATTTCTCCACCATCGGTGCTTTATCACGGTGAATGATCTAAGCTTGTTGCTCTGTGGACTAATTTCTTAAAGTAAAATAAAAAATAATATATAAAAAACTAAATCAAATAAAAAAAAAACCTATAAAGAAAACAAACCAAATTATATTGATATTATCCAAGTTATACATATAATAAAGTGTAGATTTTTTAAAAATAAAAAATAAAAAAAATCATTGATGACATCATACATTAAATTGGTGAGAAAATTTTTAATGAGGAAGCGACACATGGGTTAGGGAGGGAGTTGACGATGTCGTTTTGTTTTAGTATTAATTAATAGATATGTATTAATGTTTCCTTAACCAAGATAAAAATCTGATTAACCTACATTTGGCATCATTTGCATGGCAAAACCTTTGAATGCCTCTTATTGCATTGTAACTTTGTTAGGAACAAGGATAATATACAAAAGTAAATAAATACATAATCCAAATCTTTTTCAATGAAAGATTTTTCTCTATCCAATCTTTTCGCCCTCTATATATGTATATTGTTGATGTTACCCTCAACTCAATTTCTCAAAACAAGCAATTGTCACAAAAATATTTTGGGAATAACTCATAATTCTGCTTCAAAATTTTGGTGAGACCTTAATTTTATTTCTGAATTGTTTTGATTTGTTCGTTTTTCTCTCAAATTTATGCTAGAATTTATAATATGTAATATGGGTTTAGTTTTTAAATCAGTGTTTTAGGTTGGTTTTGTGATATATGATTGAATTCTGGTTATGTTTAATTTTCGCCTGTTTAATTTGGTGAATTTGGTTTTTACAGTAATTTCGTAATTTTTATTTATTTATTTTTTCTTTATTTATTATTGTTTCGTGGTTTAGTTTAGTGCATTAAACCCTTAATTTAATCATTAGTCTTGTTTTTTTCGGGTATATTTGATCAGTTATACACTGTCACCAATTCTTAGTTGATAAAATTGTTCATACTGCATTTTTACATCATATGTTACTACATTAATTCTTGTTACTTCGATGATCATAATATATTACATCACCATACATGTTTTAATTTTGTCACACATGTATATGGTATGTCGAATTTGGTTGAAATGTGTGATCAATAGTCGCGTTGATAGTGTAACTTGTGCAAATGCAACATTGTGATTGTTCTGATCTAGAGTAATAATAGGTAGGTTTTGAGGACTGATTATTGTTCGACTAATCTTGGTCTGACAAATGATTCTGTTTGACAATGCAGTTTTAAGTGCACGCTAACATTTGGTGTAGATTCCTATGGGAAGAACTTTGAATGAAAAAGAAGTGAAACAAATTAATTTGTTTCATCACCATAATAATGGAGGTGGTAGAAGTGAAGTTGATGATGTAGCAGATCATTATGGGGGTGAGATGCTATACGACGGTGACAATTGTGTCTCGACTTATGATAAAGATCAGCCAGAAATGAATTTTGGTGGTACAATGTGGGGTGAGGGAGGTCAAGAAGAAGATAAACAATCCGGCAAACAAAGATTGCTGGTTGTAGCTAATAGGCTTCCAGTTTCAGCTACAAAGATGCAGAACAATGAGTGGAAGTTAGAGATTAGTGTGGGAGGCCTTGTCAGTGCACTTCTTGGTGAGTCTCAGATTATATGCTGTTTATGGCTCATTGATTTAAATAATTGTCATGATTGTAATTCCATTTGAAGATTTTGAATGTATATGGTTCTTTTGTTTGCTTAAATTCATCCAATTGTAAGCTTGAGGCGTCATTTATTAAGTGTATATTGTTGCTTCAGTAACTCTTTATGATCTTTCTGAATTGCATTAGAGAGAGAAGATGGTAAGTAAATTACTGTGTCGTTTTTGCAGGTTTGAAAGATTTTGAGGCTAAATGGATTGGATGGGCTGGGGTAGATGTACCAGATAAAGCTGTACAGGAATCACTTACAAAAGCCATGGCTGAAAAGGTTTTGACAGTTCTAAATTTGTTTGTAGTTTTACTTTTAATTAGCTTCTGAAGCTTGTAACAAAATGGATAACTCTTGTGTTGATTTGCTCTGATATAACTTGTCATACATTTATCTCATTGTGTTTTTTGTTTTGATTGTCACAGAAATGTGTACCAGTTTTTCTTGATAAGGAAACTGTTAACCAGTATTACAATGGCTACTGCAACAAAATCTTGTGGCCTCTGTTACATTATCTCGGTCTTCCTCAGGATGAAACCTATACCTCTGAGTCTCATTATGATGTGTATAAGAGGGCAAATTTGTTATTTGCTGAAGCTGTGACCAAGCATTACAAAGAGGGTGATATTGTTTGGTGCCATGATTATCATTTGATGCTTCTTCCACAATATCTAAAACAATACAATAGTAAATTGAAAGTTGGTTGGTTTCTGCACACACCATTTCCATCTTCAGAAATACAACGTACCTTGCCAACTCGATCAGAATTGCTGAAATCTGTTCTTGCAGCTGATATCATTGGGTAAATGCTTTTGGTTACTATACTATCAGATATGCTACACTCAATTTATTATTGGTTGCACAATTTCAATTTTTTTTTTTCAGTCTTTTCTGTGTTACTACTTTCCATTCCATTAAAATGGTGCTATAGAAGTTAAATAGAAGACTTCTTCTATGTTTGGCATTACATCCTGGAATATCTTATAGTTATAGTCATACATGCCGGTTTGGAATTCAAGTGTTAGATTTTTCTTTATAGCTTAATAGGTTTTACTTTCTTAAGTTTTTCAAATAAAAAAAATATAACAATCAAATTTGTTCTGTAAATTGGGTCCGGGCAGGTAAAAGCAGTCCACAGCCATAGGTAGGGAGCATCCTCTACAGCTATGCGCTAGACATCTGTGCTATGTATATTCTGTCATGATATAGTGTTTTTAGTTTTAAGTTTTCATGTTTTGGGGTTACTAGTCGGTGAGTTTACCTTGTAGCTTTCATACATATGACTACGCAAGGCATTTTGTCAGCGCTTGTAATAGGATTCTGGGACTGGAAGGTACTCCTGAAGGAGTGGAAGATAGGGGGAAACTTACCAAAGTGGCAACGGTATGCCAATTGCATCATTTTGTTATTGTTTACATTGATTAGCATGGTACCTAATGAAAGGTGAAGTTGACGAGGGACAACAACAACAATAATAATAATAATAATAATAATAATAATAATAATAATAATAATAATAATAATAATAATAATTAATGAAAGTTCAAGTAACTGCAGGTTCATTGAGATGTATTTTAAATCTTTGCTAAGCTACTTGTAAGCTGTTATCTAAGTAAGTGATGGTTAGGAGTTCATGAAACATTCTAGCTTTCAAGTATTAGTATAATAGACTATACAGATCAGGATATGCTCTCATGTACTATTAACATTTTACAATATATGTTTGACAGCAACCATTCTGATGCCTCTATCTTCTTTATAATTCTTATGCAGTTCCCTATTGGGATAGATGCAAATCGATTTATTCGAACACTTACGCTTCCAAAGGTGCAAGAATACTTGACAAATTTAAGGGAGAGGTTTGCTGGAAGAAAGGTAAGCCTAATTAGTAATTTGTTCTTGGTTTTATGAGATTGTGATATTTGACAATGTTGGACATGCACAATCGGAGTTGATACAAGTATATGGGTTAATATGACACTTTTTGTACTCCCTGTTAATAATTCTTAGGATCTAACACTTTCATTGATATTTGTCTCTGAAACCATCTAGCAAACCGTGAGTTGGTGCCACGACTGCCACCTGAGGCAGAATACTGTCACTTTCTAGATGATTACAGCACATTTGTTCAAATTAATCGTTCAATCAACATCTATCAAATGAGATGTGAACTTTGCATAGAGAGCTACTATGAAGTTATAACTTTTGGATGCCTCATGCCATTAATCCTTGAGCCCTAGGTAATCACCTTTTTCAAAAGGCATAGAAAACCACATTAATGTATGTTAGTTTCTTGGAAGCAAGATAAATATCGAAGTTGGTATCTTATAGAAATGAATCTAAATTAAGAAGAGCCTGTTTTAAGTGTCAATTGTCTGTATGACTTCTTTTTTTACTATATTAATGGCTATGTTATATTCATTATATTTTGAGGTCTAGTCCAGGAAAGTATCTTCTTCTATTTGGAATATCTGCAGACCATTTAAAATGGGTTGTGTATCATATAAGCAACTTCATATGATTTATGGGAAGTAGATACATATGGAAATCTTACTTCTTTGGTTGTCATGAACAAATCTGTTTTATTTGGTTTTAACATCCAAGGAATTTGAAGTTCTCTGCTCCTGGTCCAATCAACAGACAAATCCTTCTGAGAAGTTTTTAGCCTTTCTCTCCAGTTTCTCTTTGAAATAATTTCCTATCAATTTGAGACCTTTGAAAATTTATTCCTGAGTGTTGTGACTAATTGGGTAGTATTTTAATATGCTACTCATTACTTTCATTTTTAGGCGGAACATTCTTTACTTAACATCATTGCAGGTAAGTGATGGATGTTAAAGAAGAAAAGTCACATGGACTTGTATTTATCTCCTAATACATTTTTTTATGTACATTTTCTCTAGAAGCCTTTTTGATTGATCGACAACTACTTGTTACCTAATTCAAATGCTGCTCTATGACAGATAATTTTAGGTGTTGATTGCCTGGACATGATCAAAGGAATTCCTCAAAAAATACTTGCCTTTGAAAAGTTCCTTGAAGACAATCCAGATTGGTCTGACAAAGTCGTCCTGCTGCAAATTGCTGTGCCAACAAGAACTGATGTTCCTGAATGTATGCTAAGTGTTTTTCTTGTGTTTCTTTTTATTCTAGCTGCTTAGTTCAATCTGCTTCTATTAGATGCAAATTTCATGCCACTACCCTATATCAGTATGGGAGCCATTTTACACTCGGACACATTTACATCTATCAATGAGTTGGTTACACTATTAGCTCCCAATCCTACTTTTTCCTCAGAAGCCTTTTCAACATCATTTTTTTTCCCATTATGATGTTATATGTGCACTAGCTAAGTCTAGAATGTAAAAAACTGTAACATTGATGAAACTTAAGCGCATAAACAGAAAACATACAAAGGAAAAACACTTAGCTTCTTCGTATTATAATGGAGTCTCTGTGTTCCTTTGTTATAGTTTAGTTTATTAAGATAGACAAGTAGAAGTTGCCAGAACTGCAAGTGTTGTAAGATTATAGTATTTTTATTGGCTAGCTTCCATGATAGTCGACTGCATTCTGTGGAGATGCAAGATTGTTTTTCCTAGCTTGATATAAGCATTAAATACTGTAATTGCAATGTTTTGGTGATTTTATTTACTATCTAATTGCCACTCATACGTATTTTCTTGCTGGAAAGACACTGTCAGTCTGTCTAATTTCGTTTACTTTCATGCTATTATTCTGAATTATATGAAGTACATTGTAGTGCAAGTTGGGATTAACAGAACTTTAGTTCACAAAGTAACCTTTAGATGTCCGATATAAGGTAATTGCTTCTTATTTTGGCAGATCAAAGTCTTAGACGTCATGTACATGAAATTGTTGGACGCGTCAATGGCAGATTCGGAACACTTTCTTCTGTCCCTATAATTTATTTGGTTTGTTCTTTCTAAAAGCTCCAAAGTTGTTTATTATGCATGCATGATAATTGATTCCAATGAATTCTAAATTCCAATCCCCTCCCCCCTTAAAATTATCCGACTTTACATAGCAAACAGCATTTAAATTATAATTGGACTTTGAAGTTTGAAGTAGCATGTCCATCAAGAATATGAACTGCTGAGTATTAAGCATTGAGGAATGGAATATAATATCATGACAGTCTTGCTTGTATGCCCTTTTGTAATAATTAAACTTATTCCCCTAGTTACTATTTTTACACTTGTTTGATCACCTAGTAACTGTACTCTGTAGTTTTGTATTTTCTGTGTTCCTCAAAAGCTAGTTTTAACCAATTTAACATGAACCTGATCCCTAACATATGATGAAGCTAGCTGCATTTTTGTGAACAAGAGGATTATTTCAAGAGTAATAAGTTCAATCATGCATAATTAGTGTTTGAATTAGGAAAAGAGTATATAAATATGGGATAATGGCTTCAGATTTCATAAGTATCCCATTTTTTATAAAAATATATTTGTATATTATTTACATTGTTGTATGTCACATACCTGAGTATATTATTGTCTACTTTCTGCAGGATCGTTCTCTCGACTTCCAAGCATTATGTGCTCTATATTCTATTACTGGTGCTTTTTCTTTTCTCTGATTATTAGTTTCTATTACTGTCTATTTTCTATTCGCAACATGTTTTCTTGGTTTATTAACATGTAATTTAGTAACCTATCACAGAAGTAGTAATACATCTGATTTCTCAAAATGTTGATATGACATATTTCTCAACCAGCTTAATGTTGTTGTGCATTTATCATTGACCTAGTTGTTTTGTGCTGTGTATTTACTTATTTTGTTTACATTTGTTTTAGACATTGCACTTGTCACATCTTTGAGGGATGGGATGAATTTAGTGAGTTACGAGTCAAAACAAGTGGTCCTCATACTTAGTGAGGTAAAATCAGCATTTTCAATTTTGGTTTAAATGATTTTAGATGGCATAGAAATATAAAAATCCATTATTTGAAATGAAAATGTGTTTTTACTAATATTTCAAGCCACTTCAGTTTGCTGGTGCAGCACAGTCTCTGGGGGCGGGAGCTATCTTAGTAAACCCCTGGAATATTACAGACGTTTCTTCTGCGATTGCTTATGCATTGAATATGCCTTGTGAAGAAAGAAAATTGAGGCACAAACTTAACTTTGAGCATGTAACAATTCATACTGCCCAAGAGTGGGCCAAGATGTTTATAAGGTATGTAATGGATGGCATCATTACATGAATTCTTATTCTTCTAAACTGTTTATTTATTGATAGATTAATGTAGTTTGAAACATGTTATGGTTATCATGATTTATGATTAGGGAGCTCAATGAAACTGTTGTTGAAGCTCAACTACGTACAACACAATCGTGGACACAGCCATTACTTCCAGTTAATGATGCAATCGAGCAGTTTGTGCAATCTGATAACCAATTGCTGGTTCTGGTATGCCAGTCTTCACCCATCAACCACTTTTCTTGATCCTTAGAAATTTCACCGTGCACTTTAGATGATTCCTACATAGGTGGGAAAGAACATTATTAATGGAATTGTTTCTAGTTACCTTTGTCTGGCATTGCCTTTGATAACTATGTTATCTTTTACAGATTACCGCATTCAATTCTTGCATAAGTGTCAACTCTGTCTTCCATATATATATATATAGCTTCTGTATTACCCTTTACCCTTGTTTTATTGTAGGGATTCAATGCAACTTTGTCATCAGTCGAATGTCCATTTAAAGATGGTAAGGTTATAGACTTGGGTTCTACCTTGAATCCGAACCTGCAAGAGCCATTGAGAAGGATTTGCAATGACTGTCAGACAACTGTAATTGTGATCAGTGGAAGCAAGAGAGATGTCTTGGATAAAGTATGTATTGTCCTCTCTGATCTGTAATAGCTGTATCCTAATATCTTGTTGAGCTTAAGTTAATTCTGTTTTAGGTATTTGATGGCTACAACGTGTGGCTAGCTGCTGAAAATGGTATATATCTACGACATACATCAGGTGATTGGACAACAACGATGCCAGAATTCTCGGGTATGGAATGGGTTGACAGCATTAAGGTACTACTGAAAAATTGTATGTATTACAAAGTACAAATATTGTATCTAGCATCTCCGGCTTTGCAGTAACTTTGGATCTATCTGTTCCTTTTCAGCATGTTTTTGAGTATTTCACTAAGAGGACTCCTCATTCATTTATTGAAGAACGTGAAACCTCACTTTTATGGAATTACAAATATGCAGGTATAGAGTAACTTGTTAAGGATTATGACATAGAGTGATTTGAAGTGATTTTTAATTTGTTTATTTCTTCTCTGTAATAGATTCCAAATTTGCAAGGCTCCAAGCAAAGGACTTGTTGTTGCATCTTTGGACGGGTCCAGTTTGCAGTTCTTCTGTTGATGTTTATCAGGGCGCACAATCTGTAGATGTCCGAGCAGTTGGATTAACAAAGGTAAAATTTTATTTTGGCTAATATGGATAGCTCTCGAGTCTTGAATGATTTTTATCTGTGTGTACCTCATTTAACTTCTGTGTGTTGTACTTGCAACTCTTGTTGGATACAGGGTGCAGCAATAGACCGTATACTAACGGAAATAGCTTACAGTATAGTCATGGATAAACCAATAAATTATGTCCTTTGCATAGGGCATTTTCTTGGGAAGGTATGTTCTCTGGGCAGGAACTTATATATTCTTCTTCACACATGGGTTTCGCAGAGATATTAAGGGTAAAAATCATCTCAATTGATGTCACTTTCTACTAGGTTACTCTAATTTTTATCACTACTGACAGTTCTGAATGTGTGTTCTATAAACTTCATAGCTTATATTATTGATTGTCTTGTTCAAATCAATCATTGGATTTAGAGGGTCTTAAGGGAGATTGTGTGCAACTAGTACGTATTTCATATAGATCATAACTATATCCATATGGCATGAATGTAGGTCGAAGCATGTCATTCTGTTTAAATCTGTTAACTAATGAAACTGAATGTGAATCAGTGGAAATTCTTCTGACAATTTTTTATTTTATTATTTATTTTTTTTTTCTGAGGAAACGGCTTGAGAAGTAAGCGTAAAAAAATTGACATAGAGCACTTTTTTCTACCTATGATGGGAAAGTTTCCAAGTTACTAATTATCATTATCAATTTCCTACAAGGACGAAGACCTCTATTCATTTTTCGAGCCAGAACCATCAGTCCAGCCATTAAGGTTATCAAAATCTAAGGCAGCAGTTGCAGGAAATGGATTAAAATCATCAGTTAAATCAGATAGTGCTGGTACTCATTGCCGAATTGCAACATGCTCAACTGTGGAGAGTGTGGTGACATATGAGAGTACAACTGTACTAGATATCAAAAGAGAGAACTACTTTCCTTGTACTGTCGGGAGAAAGCACTCAAGAGCCCGGTATGTTCTGGAGTCGTCTAAAGATGTTGTTTTGCTGCTAGAGGGGCTTGCTGAGGTCTTACCATCATTATGTGCATAACTACACAACTTAGGAGTCTTAGGACTAGAGAAGTGAGAATTAGATAAATAAAGAATAATAAACTTAGGGAATGATTGCATTCTTATGCGATTAGAATTAATTAGAACAATAATGGCCTGAGTGAAGCATTTCTCTGTCTTTGTACTGTAATGCCTTATCTCAAGCAATAAATTAAAGTTCCCTTGCTAATTTTGGTTCATTTCTTTAGTTCTTTCATTTTCGGGTTAGACACCATAATTTTTTTTTCATTTGTTAAATTTGGCTAAATTTACCATTTTGTTAGTAAGATTCACTTTTTTCAACTGGTGGTTCGCGAGGGGTAGAGGTGAATCAGGTAACTCTATTAATCCTAGGCGCACAATTGTTACATTAGGATCATCTAAGATGAAATTAGGAAAAACTTGGCATAAAATTGATGGCTACTTGTTAACAAAACTGTGACAAATGCGGCCACTTGAAAATTTGAAATGAATACCATTCCAACAAATGTAACTTAGTAGCAACAACTTAGAAGATAAGGTAATTAGTTTAGCATGTGAATGATATGCTTTCTCTTGGTATTGTTCTCTGTGGTTCCAAATCGCGACATTAGTACCATCCTTAATAGATTTGGTAGTAAATATCAAGTCTCTATAACTATTATATAAGGGGACGGTCAAGGTGCTACGGAGTAGTAAACATGCATTTTTCCCTACGGGTAAGAAAGTAAAGGAAATTCGGTTCAGTAATCTAACTGTCCTAGTTCTTGTTAAGAAATAACATAAAAGATTTGTACCATAATCGAATTAACAAAATCATTTGACATTTCTAATTAACATCCTCTAAATTAAGTAAGATTCTTGCACGTACTTGCGCAACTATTTCCAGGAAACATCTAGGAAATATAATGTTGTAGAATTACCTAATATAATCCAAAAACTGGTATTTTCTTCTTTAAATATTTTTTTTATGTGGCTTATACCAACTACACAGTCTATTCTTCATATTTAAATTTAAACTTAAATAGAATTCCCTAAATTCTTGGAATCATATATATTCTACCAGCAACTTTATCATGCTAACTCTTAGCTAATTGTTGGATTATAGATACTTCAAGTGTCCATGTTAATTTTTACATTTCTTACAACATGACAAACTATTGATTATTAAACTTTCAAGTTGACTAAAAAAGAATTGTCTTAGTGGAAATCCATTGTAAATCCACTTGAGATGGTTTCACTTCATAAGGTAAAAGAGTTACTCCTACTATCATCAATTGATTTTAGTATTGAAGCTTCTTTGGCCTTGTTTGTGGACCGAACTCTCTCCCCCTTCTTTTCGGATTGCCCAGACCCATTGCATATTATCTCAAAATTAATAGTCTTGCTAGAGGTAAAACAACAATTGAAAATGGATGGAGATTGATTGTATAGTAGACTATTCCCAGTGCACAACAATCTATGATCCTAAAGTAAGTTATATAAAAAATAAAAAAATAGTTATCATAGACCACGAGAATAACATCTATAGCTTTCTGGTTCTGGTGTTTTTATTCTTGGTCGTTTTCTTTACAGTTGAAATCGCTCCAAATTTGTCACTTATATATGCGGGGGTCAAGTGACATCACATTGTAGCAACTTGAATGATGAATTCTAAGTCTGAAAAATTAAATCAACTAAGTCATTTTCCGAGCTAAGGGTAGGCCAATTTGTTTATAATACCCCCAAGTGTAAGAGACTGAGCTCAGGGGTAACTTATGTGGTTGGAGCTTCTGTCTCGAGGGAATCTTAAGATCGATTCTCATCACCTGCCTTTTGTGACAAGCTTTAAAAATCGCATGTAGCTTAGTTTGTAACACCTACAACTTAATTAAATTAATAATCGAACCCACCTTATTAAACATAGCCCACATTTTAGGAACACAGCAATGGCCATTAAGACGATTGCATTCTTATCTACTATGAAACTGGATACTTACATCTAAATTTAACTTAAATGTATATTGGTGCATATTATGATTACAACGTTCTTACAAAATTTGGTGCTTTTATTTGTTATGACATGTTATTGAATTGAAACACAGCAATTGAGTTAATCAAAGGAAAGAAAATCGAGGCAATAATCACCGGGTCAGAAAACTCTGAAGAAGTGGCATTGATGGAGGAAATCGCGAACCAATATCAAGTGCCAGTTCTTTCTCTCTCAGCAGCTTCTCTAAGCTCGCCGTTACAAGTGGAGAAACACTCTTTCTTGGTGCAACTAAACAAGGATTATTTAAAGCAAATTAATTGTACTGCGTTGTTGGTTCAGAATTTTGGATGGAAGAAGGTGATCGCGGTATATGAAGATGGTGGAGATCTTAGTACAATATCTTCGATGTTGGATCTCTTCTCTAAAGAGCTTCAAAGTGTTGGATCAGAGATTGAACACCTTTTAGCCTTGCCTCCTGTTGGTTCTTTTCCTAATTCAAAGGAATTGATCGAGGAGCTAGCTAAGGTACGTAATTAATATAACCTTCAACGTAACAATTTAAAATTGTCACATTTAAGAATTTGTGATACAAAAATTATTAAGTTTTTTACTAGTAACACTTTTTATTTTGATTTTTTTTGCGTAAGGTATTTAGCATGCAATCGCGTGTGTTTGTAGTCCTTGACTCTTCCTTACTAATGGCGGTTCAACTATTCAAAGAAGCCAACAATATGGGGCTTATGGGAAGAGAGACAGCGTGGATTGTTACAGATAGAATTGCAAGCCTACTCGACTCTCTTAATTCTTCTACAAGATCTTACATGGAAGGCACACTAGGGATCAAGACTTATTATGATGAATATAGTCAAAATTTCATGGCTTTTAGTCGTGCATTTTTGTTGGAAATGATAGCAAAATATCCAAATGAACAAAGCTTTCACCCTGGAATTCATGCATACGAGCATATGATGCCATCACAACCATTGGAAATGCCTTAGAGAGGTACGTAAATGTCTCTTTTTTTTGTTAAAATTTCAGTATATTTGTCCAATATTTATAGGTGTTGTAAGGGTGCAACATTACCAATTTACCATGGCATGTTTATGTGAATGTAACAGGAAAAAACGTCAGGACTACAATATATCAACTTCACCAGACGTGTTAATGCATGACATTTTGTCTAGTAAATTTACCGGATTGAGTGGCAAAATTTCGATAAAAAATGGAACTTTGGATGAAGATGTTCTACTATATAGGATAGTAAATGTTGTTGGAAACAGCTACAAAGAGCTCGATTTTTGGTCCCCCAAAATTGGTTTTTTTGAAAAATTAACAGAGGAAGATCATAAAGGAAATAGTAGTGAGATTTTGAATAAAATGCTAAACGGAATGGTAAATTGGCCAGGAGATATTAACCATGTTCCAATAGGTTACACGATGCCAAGTGCAATGAAGCCCTTAAAGATTGGAATTCCTGGTAAACCAATTTTCAACAAGTTTGTGATCGTGGAAACTTCGAATAAAAACAAGACTACTTACACAGGCTTTTGCATTGACGTCTTTCTTGAAGTAGTCAAGATTGTGGAAGAAAGTTATGGTCTTCCTTATGAGTTTGAAGTTTTTAATGGCACTTATGACGAATTAGTCGACCGCGTCCATGACAAGGTAGGTATACTTCCTTGGTTCTTATATAGCTGACCTGTTTTATTATGAACATTTGTCAATGCATTTATGTGACTATTAATATCTTTAATTACCCATTTGTTAAAAATTGTAAAAAAATGAGATTAATAAAGTACACATTAAGGGCATGATTGGATTGGGGGAAATATATTAAGGGGGTAATAAAAGTCAAACTTGAAAAAACATAAGAAATTAGAGGTGTTATTGTAGAAGGTATGATGTTTACAAATGAAATAAGGTAGTTGTTCCATGAGGAAAATAGAGAGATGGAGGAATTATTACCCTCATAATGAGGGTAATAATTACATACCCTTCCCCTAGTGTAACTATTACCCCCAAATGAACCTCTTTTTTCACCTCATATCTCACCATCACTACATAATTTCTTCTTATAAGCACACCATCACTATCTCCTCCTTCCTTATTTACTTTCATTTTGCTTAGTTTGACTTTTATTACCCTATTAGTACATTTCCCTCGATCCAAGTATGCCCTAAGACGTAGCTAACAAGATCCCTAGGGATGGATTGCCTTATTAATAAGGCCACATCCATCACCTAAGCTTGTGAACAAGGCTCGATTCTCATTGCACTGTATCGATATTAATCGGTTATAATTTATCATGATGGCAGACATATGATGCAGCGGTAGGAGATATAACAATACTGGCAAATAGATCGAACTATGTTGAGTTTACTCAACCTTACACCAAACCTGGGTTGTCAATGATAGTGCCTTTGAAATCCAAGGACTCTCATAAGGCAAGAATGTTGATGAAGCCTTTCAGTTGGAAGTTGTGGTTGGTTACTCTTGGCACCTTGTTGTATACCATGTTCGGTGTCTGGTGGATCGAGAGTCGAATTGCCAAAAATTCGGACTTTGAAGGCAGCTTGACTGACCAACTAAATTCTGCACTTTGGTACACTTTCAGCTCCATTTTCTTTGCCCAAAGTAAGTACCTAAATGTCCTAAACTAGTAGCATGTCTCAAAATTTTAACAAATGGAAGTTAAGAATTGTTTGTTAGGGAAATAATTCAAGATATATAATAAAACTATGTGTTAACTCCAACTAAACAAGTTACAAGTGGTATGACTACGAATGTTAATAATGACAATAGCCTTGTGCAACTTTTTATAATTGGCCTTTAATCTATTGTTTCAAACATATACATGAATTTTATTAACAATTGAAAATAAAAACTTCTAAATTATCTATTTTATAATAAAACTGATCCATATGTGTTTTTTTCTTTATAATAAGTGATATAAATATGTATGTTGTACAAGTATAAAATAATATCACATTTGTGGATCCTTTTTAGGGGCCCTATACAGTTGTTCATCTTGGTTATTCTCAATTCATTCTAGAAGTGCGTACTAATTATGTGGGACATGATTGGGAATAATAATTTTCCTTTTGTAGGGGAGAACATTCAAAGCAATTTAACGCGCCCATTGGTGACAATATGGATGTTCGTGGTGTTCGTAATGACATCTAGCTATACGGCAAGCCTAACAGCAATGCTCACGGTTCCATTGTTAGAGCCAATTAAGGTGAAA